AAAAACACCGGGTTTCGCAACACTGGTTTGCTAACACAACTTACGCGCGAAGTCATGCGAAATCTTCAGAAGACCATGGGTTTTTCCAGACTTCCACAACATTCTACCAAACGGGCTTCGCGCGCACGCATGTCGAAATCTGCCGAACGCCCTTGCGCGTGTGCCGTCGCGAGAATCCTCTGCAAAAAAAAAAAATAGGTGCAGACGCGCGCGTCGTCGCGCGCGTATGCCGGAATCCTTCAAAACCCATCGGTTGTGGAGGATTTCAACATCGCGCGTCCAAAACAACGCACAAAAACACCAGGTTTCGCAACGCATATTTTCAACAGAAGCGTGCGCGCGCGTTCTTGCGTCGTCGTCGTCGTTGCCGTCCTCCCTCCTCCTGCGTCGTCGACGTCGTCGTCGTCTACGTCGTCCTCTGTCTTTCCTCGTGTTCGTCGTCCTCCCTCCTCCCTCGTCGTCGTCTTCGTTGGCGATGTCGGCGTCGTCTTCGTCGTCGTCGTCGGCGTCGGGGTCGTCGTGTTCTTCGTCGTCGTCGACGTCGGCGCCGTCGTCGTCGCAGCCGTCGTCGTCGTCATCGTCGTCGGCGTCATTGACGTCGTGGTCGTCGTCGGTGTCGTCGTTGCCGTCGTGGTCGGCGTCGTCGTCGTCGTCGTTGTCATCGTCGTCGTCCTCGTCGGCGTCGGCGTCGTCGTCGGCGTCGTCGTCGTCGTCGTTGTCGGCGTCGTCGAAGTCGATGGAGAAGTAGTAGGTGTCGTCGTAGTTGATGTCGGCGGCGTCGTCGTCGTCGTTGTCGCTGTCGTCCTCGGCGTCGCTGTCGTTGCCAAGTGCAATTTGGCACCCGCCGTCACGGTCTTGAGAGATTGTGCAAACCAGGTTGCGGGCGGGTGGGAGTGGATGTTTGCGCGAGCAGTGGAGGTGGTCAAGCACGGCGCAGGGTAGTCAATTGCGCCACACAGATTGCACCGCGTAGATTCTCTTGTCTTCAAGGAACATCGACCCCCCCCCCCGCCCCAGGCACAACCGACGCCCATAGGGGCAATGCAATCTACATTTGCCCACGTTCATCTCGTACATGAGTTCGCACCATGCCATGGAGCGCCGTAATAGACTCCCCGTGGTCGGCGTGGGATTATATGATTCGCGTGCGCTCGTTTATACGCTAGTATCATGTTCCAAGAATCTCTTGCGATAGAAATCGTCGCGCGCGGCGTCGCGCGCATGCGTGCCGAAACCAGTCAAAACCTTGAAATTCGAACGCGGTCAACGCCCAGGTTTCCGTGGCCATAAAACCAATGGCGTTGCGAAGTGGGTTCCCCGACAAAAAACGCGCGCGCCCTGGCGAATTAACATGAGCACCGTCGCTTGTTTCTTCCCATTGTTTCGCGACGCGCAACGATTCGGCCCCCGCGCGCGCGCGTGCCAAAATCAGTCCAACGACCATTTTCAAATTCGCCGGCCCAACGGGCCAGGGCGTGCTAAGATCTCCGGTACCTGGTTAACAGTATTTCTAGTTCGCGCGCGCGGGGCGGCCCCTGGGGTCCCCGGACGAAAAGTACCCTGGCAAGGTCCCGGCAAGTCCCGGGCAAGTCCCCGGCAAGGTCGGGTCAGAGATGCCGGAGTTCTGTTTCGGAGTCCAAGAGGGCTCCAGATCGGTCCAAGAGGGCCCCGAGAAGCTTTCTAGACGGTCCAAGAGAGGCCCGAGACGGCCAAAGATCGCCCGAAGACGCCCCAGATGGCCCCAAGACAGCCCAAGAGGCCTCCAAGACGCTCCAAGGGCCTTCCAAGAGGCCTCCGAAGAGGGCCCCAAGTTGCCAAAATCGTTGATTTTCATTTGTTTTTCTATGTTTTTTTGCGTTCTGGCCTTTTCGCTTCCGGACGCTCCAAGAGGGCCCAAGAGGCCTTCAAGACTGCTCCAAGACGGCCCACGAGGCTCCCAAGACGGCCCCGGAGCGGCCCAAGAGCGCCCCCCAGACGGCCCAAGTGCTGCCCAAGGCGGACCAAGAGGCCCCAAGACGGGCCCAAGAGGGGCTCAAGAAGGGAACCGAGAACTGAAAAATCGAGCCCTCCGCCCCAGAAGGCGCCCAGGACCCCGAAAGAGGCCCCAAGAGACTCTCCAAGACACCCCCAAGACGCCCCAATAAGCTCCCGTGAGGCCCCAAGAGGACCAACAACGTCAGGCCCCAGGCCCCAAGAGGACCAACAAATACCGCCAAGAGCCCGCCGAAAGCCCCCCAAGAGACCGTCACGAGAGCTCAGGAGGCCCCCTGGAGGCCTCCCGAGTTCTCCAAGAGGCCTAAAAAGAGGCGCCAAGAGGCCCCAAACGGCCCCACCGTGGCTCCAAGAGGCCACGAACGCGCAAGCAAACGCCTGCGATGGCACAATACGGGCCGGCGGAATGAGCGAAGCGATTAAATAAAGCGACGCGGGTCGCTCGCGCGCGTCGGCCACGCGCGCGCGTCGCAATTCCGCCAGCGCTTCCATTCCCGACGCGTGGACGCCAGCATCTTCATCGGCTCGACCAGCATCGGCGCTGCCAGTGGCCATGCCGTCGTCATCTTCAGCATCGCCACCATCTCCAGTTCTATAACAGTCGCTTCCGCCTGCGTCAGCGTCGCCATGATACCGCGTCTGCCCAGGTTACCGATTCGCGCGGAGATGCCCGCGCGTCGGCGCGGATTGCGGGGCGAATCGGGGACCCCCCAGCGGTCGGCGCCACCGTGGCCGCCGCGGCCGCGCCAAACCAACTGTCCGTCCTTCGGGCGAGCTTGCGCGAGTTCGCGCGGCCGCGGCGACGCGCCATCCGCGCCGTGCTGCCGTCGCAACTGCCGCCGTCATCGAAATTGTTGCGCAAGCCACATGGCGGGTGGGAGGGCGGGATGATTGTGCGAGCAGCGAGGTAGGCGACTCATTGGTTGGCATCAGTGAGTTGCGCCACGCAGGTTGCGCCACGCCGATTTCGCTGCGCAGGTTGCAGCAAATAGGCGACCCTTCGTTAATTTGCATGCGATGATGCCCCCCTGATGGTGAATTCATATCGCCCCAGGCAGGCGCGCAACCAGAAATGCGTTGCGCGCGCACCCGCGCATCAAACATCACAAGTTTTGAACAACTCTTTGCAACAAGTCTGGCGACGTGCACGCGCGCGCGTCGTCGCGCGCGCGGAGATCCTTTGAACACCCTAGGTGTCGCAAGGGCTTCGAAATCGAAAACCACGGAAACATATAAGCAAACATGGCTTTGCAACACGGAAAATCAGAACAAGAGAAATTTGCGTCGCGTTCATTCAGGTTCTTAACAAAATCATAGGCGTTTCTACATCTTCATACAATGCAATGAGCGGGCCTCTCGCGCGCGCGTGTCGAATTCGTTCGAACGCCCTTGATATCGCGTTGTCGCAAAAATTCTCTTGCGAAAAACATGGCGAAATGCACTCGCGCGCGTCGTCGCGCGCTTGCCGAAATTTGCCAAACACTCAAAGTTGCGTAAGAAGTTCGACGACAAGCGTCCCGTCAACACATAAACCGCACGGTGTTGCAACATCCGTTTTCAAAAAGCTTGCGCGTTCTAGCGAATTTTAAAGAAAATAGTGGGTTTTTCAACATTGACATCTGCCAAACGGACCTCTCGCGCCGCAGGCCAAACTCATCCGAGCGCACATACTTGCGCGCTTGCTTGGGGGCAGGATCCGAGTCAAATAATACCACGCGGGACCCTCGCGCGCGTCGGCCGCGCGCGCATGTTGAACTCCTCCACGAAGCATCACCACCGACACGAGGACATCGTCATCGTTTATCGGCGGGCGTGATCAGAATTGGCGCCGCCATTGGACGTGCCGTCGTCGCCGCCACCATCGTCATCATCACCGCTACTATTATCATCGTGTCTACCGCTGTCGGCGTCGCCATGATACTGTGCCCGCTCAAATCACCCACTCGCGTTGAACTGCCCGCTGGACTTGTCCGGCGCTCAGCGCCACCGCGGCTGCGGCGGCCGCGCCATACTAGTTGGTCGTTGCGCGCGCGAGCATGCGCACGCTAGGGCGGCCGCAGAGATGCACCAGCAGACGCCAAGCACCCATCCCAATCGCCGCCGCATGGGTTTTGCAAACCAAGTTGAGGGTGGGTGGGTGGGATGTTTGCGCGAGCGCGGGATCTGTCAACTCACGGCGAACACTGGTGAGTTGCACCAGAAAGTCTGCACCGCTTAAGTTGTACCACGTAGCTTGCACCACGTAGTATACGAAAGACGCACTGTATGGGTTCCCTGTTGGCTGGCATGTGTGTCATTGGGTGATTGGGGAAGTCGGCCAGGAGCTTGGGTTTTGTTTATTTCGTCGTGGGCGTTTTCGAGAATCGCTTCGTTCCGATTGGTGCAACAGCAGTAATCATCATAGGTTTTTGTTCCTCTTCTTGTTCCCGTCCTTTTCGTCACGCGGCAGAACCTGACCAAGCAGGAACAGAATATCATTATCACGGCTGGGTGTCATGGAAGCCCCCCCCCCTCTTCCTTGTCCCACTCCCCTCCTGCCTGGCGCACTGCGGTTGCGCGGGGTTTTCCCGAACCCCCCAAAAAAACCGTCCTCTTCGTGCCCTTCCCAGCCTCAATCTATGCACGAATTACATCGAGTGAAACATTGTTCAGGGATCCGGGCCCTGCAATGGGGGGTCTGTGGCTTGGTCGTTTCGGCTGAATCGCAGTCGGTTGCGTTCGGTACGTTTGGTTCGGTCGGTTGCGGTTTCACTGCCGCGTCGTTGCGGCTCTGTGGGTTGCTTGCGGCCTGTGGGTTTCGGTCGATGTCAGTTTCGTTGTCGTTTCGTTCGCTTTTCGGCGGTGCTGTCGCCATGGAAGACCTGGACCAGGGATCAGCATCTGGTTCGACGCCCGGCCCTGCCCACGGGAACATCATATCAGGCTTGACGGGAAGGGACACTTCCCCCCCGGCCAGTCCCCCCCCTTGCTCCCACCGAGTTCCCGTTTGAATGCGAGCGTCACGGAAGGACGCCATAGAGTCGAACTCGCAGCAGGAGAGCGATTTGTCGCAGACCAAGGAGGCCCACCGTTTGGCCCTCGCCGACGCCGCGAGCATGGGACGCGGCCAAGAGTTGCTGACCAGTGGCGGCGGGGACGCCAAGACGGAAGCAGGGCTGCAAGAAATCCACATTTGGACGACGGACGGAGGTACTTGGCATCTCGCTATGTGCCATCCTGAGGTGGTCCAGGGGGGCCCACCCATAGAATGGAGTAAGAGAGCGGTGTCATTCTTGATGGACCGTCATAGTTTGGTGCTGTGGGTGATCGACAGGGAAGTTGATCTCCTCACATGGGGACAGACAGGAGATGGAAATGGAGCAGCAGCAGCAGGAATCGGGAGGAACAGAGAGGATGAGGAGGAACGAGGAGGAGGAGGAACATACGCAGCAACACGGTCAGGAAGACTAGGAGAAAGGCTCGGATTTTCAGCTCGTATTCCCCTTCTTCGGCCCCTCTTCGTCTTTTTGGCCGTCTTTGGGGCCTTCGGGGCCGTCTTAGGGCCCAATTGGGAGTCTGGGGCCGCCTTGGGTCGGTCTTGGGGGGCCTCTTGGGACGTCTTGGAGCGTCGGGAGCTCGAAAGGTGGAGAATCCCACAAACATTGGAACCTTTTCGGACTTCAGTGGTTTGGGCTTCTGCAAAGCCTCTCGGGACGGCTCTTGGCGACCTCTTGGGACGTCTTCGGCGCTGTCTCGGCCGACTGGAGGCAAAAGTCTGGGCGCGTTGGACCGATCGCTCCTTGATTCTGGGCCCTCTGGACCATCTTGGGTCGGGCCGGGCGAAAGGGGGGGATAGGGAAAGGGGAGTTACGAAATCTGCTGCATGCAGCTGGTTTCGGCCTCACCGAGGGGCCCATTCCTCGATACATCGGCGCCTCCCGGCGCCGGGAGGCGCCGGGAAAATCAGCTACGTGAGCTGATTCTCAAATCCCCCCTTTGCTATCCCCCCCTTTCGCCCGACCCGATTGGAGGCCTCTTGAGACCCTCTTGGCCCGTCTTTGGACCCTCCTGGGTCGGAACACGTAATGCGACAAGCCGCGGCGGACCCCATATGGGACGCGGCAAGCCCCAAAAGATTTGCGAGCAAGGGGTCCAGGCTTCTAAATAATCCTTAGGTTGAGGACCTGGGGACACTCCATTTCGTGTCACAGGCACGGTGGTGGTATATTTTTATACCTGTATATATACATATACATATGTACATACGTACATACATATGTGTATATATATATATGCATACACAAAGGTATACAGATATGTGTACGCATATACGTGTAAGTATATACAACCGCATCTACATGGGCATATGCGTATAAGCAGACGTTTGCATGTCCTATGCATATACATATGCACTACATTTACACATGCATATGCATCTATATACACCTACAGTCTACATGCACGAATACATACGTACACGTGTACAACATGGTGTATATACACACCTAGGTATACACCTGCGCATACCCATGTGCGGAACCATATAGCTACACGGGCTCAGAGCACACACACATATACACATTTACACATACATATACACATACACCTTCGCATACACATACGCATACACATACACATACATACACGTACATGCATGCAGGCACACATACATGCATGAGTGTGTATTCTTGACATGCACACATACATGCATACATACATACATGCATGTAGCATGCATGCATGCACACATGTGTATATGTGTAGATATATAAGTGTATACGCAGGTATGGGTACACATTCATGCATGCAGACAGCCAACCATAATGCATTAACATATACATACATGCATACATGCATACAGACATACCAGCATATCTGCATACACACACACTCATGCACCCATACAGGTACATCTACATGTACACATACATACACACACGCATACACGCATGCACATGTCAGACATACACATACATGCATGCATGCATGCATACATGCATACATGAATATGTGTACGTACATGCATGCATACATGCATACGTGCATGGATGCATGCATGCATGCATGAATACTTCCACACGTGCATACATACACAACTACATATACACGTATATACAGATTTAGATGCACACACGCACATACACATACATACATGCATACACACGCATATATACATATATATACATACATACATAATTACACATCTATCCATATATGCATACGTACGTAACCACATGCATACACACATGCACGCATGCATACACACATACATACATACATGCATGCATGCATGCATGCATGTCTACATACATACATGCATACCCACATACACACACGTATACATATAAATATAGTTATATACATATATATATATACGACTGCCTGCGGCAAACCCGTCACCGTGCCTGCGCATCAATCGAGCAGCAACGTGCTTGAAGTCTTAACGCTTCGCGTGTGCCCACCAGTTTGCCGACGCTGGCGGCTGTGTTCGCAAATTCGCACCGTTCCGCCGTCCCGGACGCCGCTTCCGCTCCTTCACGGTCGCCTGGGAGCCGCCAACGAAAAAAGTGTGCCCACCAGCCCATCCAGGAACGATGCCCAGGCGAGCTGCCCATGTCGGGGGAGCGTGGCATCATTTGGAGAGCTCGGGAAGCCACGGTGTGCCAGAGGCTTCTTGGATGCCTCTCGGAGTCTCTTCGGATGTCTCTCGGGATCTCTTGAACACCTCTCGGGGCGTCTTGGGGCTCCTGGCTCCTCTTGGGGGCTTCTTGGAGGCCTTTTTGGAACCTCTTGGACGCCTTTTGGGGCGTCTGGGGGGCCTCTTGGCAGATTTCCGAGCCTCTTGGAGCGTCTTCGGTGCCTTCTGCGGGCCTCTTGGGGCCTCTTGTGGGCTGCATGGGGGCCTCTTGGAGGCCTCTTGGGGGGCCTCTTGGAGGCCTCTCGGGCCGGCTTGGGGCCCTCTTGGGGGCCTCTTGCAAGTAAGGCCGGCGGTCGGCCAAGCCGAGGGCGTTGGTTCAGCCGCGCCTTCCCCTTCTGGGGCTTTGCCCGTTTGGACTAGCTCAGCGCTGCCGTCCCCGGATGCGGGTGTCACTGCTTTTTTGTTTAGTCGTTCCAGCAGCCAGGACATTCGAATCCTGCTGCTGCGCATCTGGTGTGTGGGGACGCTTGGGCTGTCTTGGAGATAAGTTGGAGGCTTCTTGCGCCATCTTGCGCGATTGCAAACCCGCAGGCGAGAACCTCAAAATCTCTAACAAAAAAGGCAATCAATGGTTTTGGCCTCCTCGGGCTCTCCTGGAGGGCCACTTGGAGCCCTCTTGGCCGTCTTAGAGGCCTCTTGGGCTGTCTTGGGGCCGTCTTAGGAGCCTCTTGACTGGTCTGGGGCCACCTTGGGCCGTCTTGGTGTCATCTTGGCTGTCTCGGAAGCCGTCTCGGATGCCATTATGGCCGTCTGGAAAGAGTTCCGGAGAGCAAATTCAGGAGGGAATATGTTCGAACGACGCATGCTAAGAGGGGGGTCGGTTCAAGAATACATTAAGAAACCGTCCAGACAACATACAAGCATCCTAACACGCCCACTCCGTGAAGGCACGGTGGCGAAAACAGACTTCTGCCCCACTTGCCCCCCTTCTTTCAACCTCAGGCGGGAGTAGTGTAAGGGTAAGTGCAGGTAGGTGTGGTTGGGGAGGGCGGCAGCCAACGGATTTCTCTGCCCGAGGAGGCCAAGCTTGCGAAGGACAATGGGCTAATCGAGTCCAGCCTTCAGGACTCGGCCAACGCGGGAGAGCAGTTCCAGGACGAGGGGAAACGCACCTTTTGCCCCATTACTCCGGCTGGGGCGCGGAGGCCCTCCCCAGGCATGATCACGACTGCGGCCCAGCGGCGGGCCCCGCGCTCCTTCGGGCGTACAGTGGGGGGGCCCATGCCGAGGAGCACCCTGCTTGCCTCCGGGGTGCCCTGGGTTTCCTGGGTGTCACTGGCTGTGCTGTGGGAAGCGCGGCGCTCCCACACCAAAAGCCCTCTGGACGCCCTGGGGTCTCAGGGTTGGGTTTCTTGTGGAAGGTTTCTTGTAGACTGACCTCCACTATGTAGATCCAAGTGTAGCCTCTTCGACGTGCAAAGGAGGAGGAGGAGGAGGAGGAGGAGGAGGAGGAGGAGGAGGAGGAAGCGGAGGAGGAGGAGGATGAGGAGGAGGAGGGGGAGGAGGAGAAGGGGGGGAGGAGGAGGAGGAGGAGAGGAGGAGGAGGAGGAGGAGGAGAGGAGGAGGAGGAGGAGGGGGAGGAGGAGGAGGAGGAGGAGGAGGAGAGGAGGAGGGGGGAGGGAGGAGGAGGAGGAGGAGGAGGAGGAGGAGGAGGAGGAAGGAGGAGGAGGAGGAGGAGGAGGAGGAGGAGAGGAGGAGGAGGAGGAGGAGGAGGAGGAGGAGGAGGAGGAGGAGGAGGAGGAGGAGGAGGAGGGGAGGAGGAGGAGGAGGAGGAGGAGGAGGGAGGGATGGAGGAGGAGGAGGAGAAAAAAGACGAGGAGGAGGAGGAGGAGCAGGTGGTCGGGCCCCCACTGTAGACTAGCTGCGTCTCAGCACCCCGCCTTGCCCCCTCATCGGGGGGCACCCTCTTCATTTCTCCAGAGGGAACAACAACACACAGACACAACAGATCGTCGGCCCCCCAGAAAACACCGGAAAAGACGGGAAGGGGGTGGGAAGACAAACAAAAACAGAAATCATGGGTCAACATGGCTAATCCTGTTGTCTGTGTGCACTTACTTGTGTGTCCCAGGGGTCTCATTTCGGGGGGGTCTCTTCCAGGCTATCTTGGAGGGCCTGGGGGGGTCTGGGGACGATGTTTTGGAGGGTTCTCCCACGGGGGAGGTCTGAAATGGCTTGTCTTGGAGGGTCCAGACCCCCTCCCTTTTATTACGAAATCTGGAGTAGCTGATCCTGCAATCTGTGTGCACTTTCTCGTGTGTCCCAGGGCCCCCCTTTCCTCCTCCTCCGCCCCCCCCGGCGTGCGCGGCGCGGTGCTCGGCGCGCGGCCCCCCCGGGGCTCGTCGGGCGTGCGCCGGCGACCGCCGGCGTGGCGGCCGGCAGGAAGCAGCACAAACATGTTCGCGGTCGGTCGATGTTCAGGGGGGAAAAATAGGGGGCCAGATGCGAACCCTACCCCTACCCCCCACGATTTCTGAGGGGGAGGGTGGGGGTCACTTTGCTCGGGAGCTCCCGAACGAAGTGAACCCCACCCTCCCCCTCAGAAATTGTGGGGGGTAGGGGTAGGGCTCGCATCTGGCCCCCTAAAAAAACACACAGACAAAATTAATCGTCGACTCCCAGGAAGCATAGGAAAATGTGGGAAGTGGGGGGGAAGACAGAAGCCCAGAAAAGATGGGAAGATATGGGGAATCTTTTTATTTGTGTGCGTTTATTTGTGTGTCCTGGGGCCCCTTCAGATGTGGGGGCGCTGATGCGGGCTGCTTCCCGTCTCGCCGATGCGCCATGGAACGTCAGGCCGGGCGACCTGTCCTCCTCATCCTTTGGCGGGTTTCTCGCATCGGCCAGACACCGCTCCCCTAGGGGCTGAGGTGTGTGAGCCCGGCCCACGGCCTAAGGGTACATCCGCGACAATCCTCTTCTTCCTTCTTTTCGTCCTCCTCCTTCCCGAGGCAGGCGCGGCACCCCGTCTGGCCCGCCTAGGTGGCCCGAGAGGGGGGGAACGTCGGCCACAGCCGTTCCAGACGCCGCAACAGGGGCAACCGTGCCCTACAGGATTGTGACACCAGGTAGTTGGGCTCACCAACGGGGTCAAGGCGCCCCAATGCCATATCACCTCAAGACCTCAAGTCCTCCTCCTTCCTGTCGTCCTCTTCCTCCTTCCGTTCCTGATCCTTTCGTCCTCATCCTTTCGTCCTACCTCCTCCCTTTCCTCCTCCTTTCGCCCTGGACCTCGTCGGGAAGATGGCTGTGAGAGTGGGCCTCCTCGGCGCCCGTGCTGATCGGGCCGTTCGGCGCGACTTCGGCGACTTGCCGCCTGCCAGCGAGTCGGGAGGATGTCGTCAGAGGCCCGACGAACGGCTACCATCGTCCCCTGCATCCCCCCCTTCCGAGGGAGGCTCCTGGCCAGAGCCACGCCGACGTTTACCCTGCTTGAATTGGCTGGGGTGTCCGTTTCCGCTGGCGGTGCAGGAGATGACGGCGATGCGCATCGAGGCGGAGAGCCACAGGAACAAGGTCGCGCTCCGGGAGGCTCAGACGGAGGACGCCTCTCGTTTGCAAGAATCTTGCCCAAGCCCTTGACGGCTCTTTGCCGTCCTCCTCGCCCTCAACATCCTTTTGCTCCCCCGTTCCATTCCTTCACCCTCGTCCACTCGCGAGGACAATCTTAAGAAGATAGCGGACGAGAGATTGCTGGTCGCGAAGGCCGCCAAGTCCGGCTTGTCGGGTGCTTCCCTCCTCGCCAGCGGCCTCATCGTCCGGCCGCTGGCTCTGCCGCGAAGGCCTCAGCAGGGCCTTGACCCGTCGATCGGGATTCGTTCCACGCCGTTCGGCACTGGCCATCACTGTGGATTCCGTATCACGCCCCTCCGAGTTTCTTGATAAGCGTCGGGGAGGCGTCACCCCCGCCGACAGCCCCACATCGACCCCCGTCGCGGGCAGCCACCGCGCGCCGAAGGCGCTCCGACCCCCGTCGCGGCGCGACGACGAGGCGAGGTTGAACCCCCGTCGGGGGGGTGCCCCCCCACGCTTATTAAGAAGCTCAGAGTACCCTTCCTAAGTATCATGTCGCGCGGGAGGAGACACATCGGATGCTTGCCAGCTTGGGCCTCAACGTGGTGTATTCGATGTGATGCCACAAATGCGGTTCGAGGTATGTGGTGCAAGCTATGGGGTGCAAGCAACGTCGTGCAGGTGCAAGTTATGCAGTGCAGCTTTTTTGTGGTACAAGCTATGCGCTGCAAGCTGGGTGGTACAATAGTTTCTATACGCGCATAACGCCAGCCAGCGTGAAGTACAGCAATTTGTTCCGAGCTATGTACGTTGTGTCATATATGTGGGCCAATATGTGTGGTGCAACATGTGTGGAGCAAGCAATCTGGTTCACACAATGTGGTACAATCTAATATAGAGCGTGCAGTTTGTTTGAAACAGTAGTTATATATGTTAATACACGCGTGGCTCAATGCATGTTGTCCCCTGTTTTGTGCATTATGTACATGTCAACACGCACATAGATGTATATAAGTAGATTCAGTCTGTGTGCAATGCACGTTGGTCAAAATATGTTGTGGAACGCCCGTGGTGAAATCCATATGATGCAGTCTATGTAGAGCAGGCTAAGTAGTGCAACATTTGTGGTGCAGTCCAGGTGGTGCAGTCCACGTGGTACCAATCTATCTTGTGCAATCCATGCTGCGAAAGATGGGTGGTGCAATTCATGTGGTGCAGCCGGTGTGATGCAATACATGTGGAACAAGCCCAGCGCTAGTCAGAACCTTACTCAAGGTATGATGAGGAGGAGGAGAGGAAGAGGAGGAGGAGGAGGAGGAGGCATGTACTGTGGGTCAAGCCAGTTGCTTCAATCGACGTGCTCCAATCTGGTCGGGGATGCAAAAGGGGGCACCTGCCACTGGCGGCGGCCGGGCGGCGACGGGGGCGGCGACGGCGCCAACGAGGTGACGGGCCCGACGAGCGAGCCCGGCTCCCTGGAGACAGCCGAGAACCTGTAAGTGCAAGCACTGTTTTGGGAGTGATATAACATGCACGGGCATGCAGATTGTTTTATATGTACACACATATGCACGAGACAGGAGGGCTCGCATAGTATACTACCGATACATATGATATGATATATACACATATTTTCTGTGTGTACATACATATGATAAACAGAAATATACACACATCACATAGATTTGGTGCAAGCTATGTGCAAGCTGTGCCGCGTAAGCTCTGTAGTAGAGGTGATGTAGTGCAAGTTCTGTGGTGTATAGTATGCGGTTCAAGCCATGCGGCCATTCAGCGCACGAGGCGCCCGCGAGGCATTCACGTGCGGGCACCAGGCGAAGCCTCGGGCAACCCATTCATAGCACGAGGCGACCGCGAGGCCCTGGATGGCGGGCACCAAGCGAAACCTCGGCTGACCCACTCAACGCACGAGGCGACCACGAAGCGACCATGGGCGAGCACGAGGCGCAACCTCGGCTGACCCATCCAATCCCTTACAACGCCGGAGTAAGAACCCCTAGGTGCAAGCATTGTTTGTGGAATGCTCGTGCGCCTAATGTGCAAACACCGCACTGGTGGGGGGCGTCAGCAAAGTTTTGCACGTGCGATTATCTATGAAATGTACTCTATGCTTTCTATTAGCTTTCCATGATGCCCTCCACTCGTTACTCTCTATTCTCTGCTCTGCGCACTCCCCATACCATCCACCTTTCCTTCTCCAGTGTATTCCTCACCATCTTCCTGCACGTTTTACTCTATATTCCCCACCCTCTACTGCAATGGGGGGCAGCCCGGCACAATCTTGGCGGACCCACCCGGCGCACGAGGGCCACGAGGCGGCCACGTGCCGACGAAACCTTGCCGGGCCCAACCAGCGCACGAGGCGGCTGAGGGCGGCAACGTGGACAATTCTCGCTGGACCCATCCAGTTTCTTAGCGACATGTGTAAGAACCCCTGAGTGCAGGCTTTGTATATATAATGTGTATAAGTGTACGTAGATTTATAGATGAACACACTATGTAGTGCATTGTGTACTCGTTGCCACTCTCTGTTTATTTTTTCATTATCTCTCTCTCTCTAGTGTCTGCGGCTGGAGATTTCTATACAGACCCTGAACAAGGAACAAGAGAACCGGCCCCCCCTTCGAAATCGGTGACGCAATGGCGTTGAACGTTTTCAATGCCAAGAGTTCGGGACAAAGAACCGAGAGTATGGCAGCCTACCGTCATCGTTTGCGCAATCTTGCCAAATCCTCCAATACTTGCGAGGGCCGTTTTATTGCAAAGGTTGATTGGGGATTGATGCACGTAAAGTCACCGTTCTGTAGGATGCACACACGTGTTGTCGACTCCGCTCCCATCATGTTATTGCTCCTGCTCTAGTCTGCACTGCGCTATCTCATCGAAATTAGTCAAACTGAACGACACCGCGCTAGTCCAATGCACGTCCACTCTGTCTGTCGTTGTATTATTTGTTTCTAACGCTAAACCTGTACGTGCATGCTTTTCTCCCTCCGCCAGACCCAGCGCTGACGTCGACAATTTCTGAACTCGCATCATCCCTGTGGAATGAGACTGTTATGGCCAACGCCCCATCCGACCCTGGCAGTCCCCCTGCATTTCAATATCGTGTTTCCTGCACTCAACGTCTAGCCCGCGTATGACATCATAGTATTTGATGCGAGGGCAGGTCCGACACCCCGCTGCTGTCCGCGTTTGGGATTTGCATGCGCTTAACACGCGCTGGTTTCACACACGCGTATTGTATGGATCCACGCTGAATAGTACCATGATGGCTGGCATTACGCAGGCCGCAGCGCTCTCCGACTCAGCTACTCGCTCGTGAAATCTGTCGACAGGTGCACATGCGGTGATCCGGCGGCAGCGCGCTGTTGGAAACCTGATCGAAAAGCACGCGGCGGCCACGCCCGCGAGTTGAGCCGGTGCCATCCCTACATTGCCGTTTTTAATACATGCTCCGCGTGCGGATCATGTATAAAAAATGCAGGGATTGAGTATCAAAAACAGCGATCAGTTCATGCATAGATGTATTCATACATTGATCATCCATCACACATCCTATATGTTTAAAACTCCTATGAATTGATAACTGCCCTGTACGGGCCACGCGCGCGCGGTCCAAGGAACATGTCGGCAGGCTCCCATCGCCGACAGGCTCCTATCGCTCACTGTGCCAGGCAGAACTGATGTCCGCTTCGACCCGATCCGCCCGCCCAGGAAGGTCCGCCCGCTTGACCTGCCAGTTGGGGTCCGCCCACCCGGCCCGACCCGACCCGCCCGCTCGGGCCCGCCCGCCCGCCCATTGAGGTCCACCCGCCCAAGCAGCACGTCACGTCCTCAGCAGCTTCTTACCGCCCGTTTCTTCCACGGCCTTTGGTACGAATGAGGAGTTCTATGATGCGAAGCGGCATGTCAGGTTCGTCGCTGCTCGGAAAACGACAGGATGGGCCCCGAGTGTCCCAGAGAGTCCGGATCTCGCAGTGAATTTCGTGCGGGTTCTTTTAGCCAGGAATGAAGTTAACAAAAATCCACTTCAAATTCATTTTGTTCTTCACCCGCCGTTTCCGGCAGACATCCACGCAGAAATCCGTTGCAGCACGTTTGCAGGTTGGTGCAATGATAAGGTAGTATGATTCGGTGGACGCCCGCGCAGCGCCTACATGCTTTAAATTCCACCTTTCCGTTCGTAGAACTACTATCCGAGTCTACCCTACGTCACACGCCCGTCGCATGCGATGTTGGTTGCAGCGATAGGCGCAGGCATAGGCGCACCCACACGAATCATTAGGCGACGCCGAAGGAAACCAGAATCGTAACCATCGGAACTCATCGGCAAAATTGTGGGATGCAATTGGCCCGTCGACCCGTGCCCTATTCCTATTCTGCTCGTCTGCGTTAGGTGTGTTTCACCAAGTGATACATGGGATTACGAAGTTCTTCCCACCCGCGTCGCACGCGAGTCTCACACCACTCAACCTTCGCCTTCTCGTTCGTACACACATCAACAGGCGCATGCAACATATGCACGACATCCGCATGAGACACACGTCCACACATACAGCCGCACACACATACACACACATCATACATATACACGTACAGCCGCGCAACATATGACTCACACGCACACACACACACACACGACATACTTAGATACCGACAGGTACAGCCATGGGATTCCCTCACTGCGGTGTCCATACGCGCCAGTTGTCCTTGAGCGCGGCCTCTATCCGTCACAGGATCGCGGGGCATGGCAAGCGTGTCTCTCTCTCTCTCTCTCTCTCTCTCTCTCTCTCTCTCTCAACACCAGAAAGGGTGCGCACGAGGGCGGTCCCCGAGCGCGGCCTTCATACGCTCTAGGGTCGCAGGGCTTGGCAGGCGTGGCATGTCCCCGACACCGGAGGGGGTGCGCAGGGGGTGGTCCCTGAGCGCGGTGTCTATGCGCTCTAGGGTCGCAGGGCGTGGCAGGCGTGGAGTTCGCGCGGTCTCCATGCGCTCTAGGGCCGCAGGGCGCGACAGGCGTGGCAGTCCCTCGACACCCGAGGGGGCGCGCAGGGGGTGGTGCCCGACCGCGGTCTCTGTACGCTCCAGGGTCGGCAGGGCGCGGCAGGCGTGCCATTCGACGCCAGAGGGGGTGCGCTGGGGCTGGTCCCTGAGCGCGGTCTTTAAAAGCGCCAGGGTTGCAAGGCGTGGCAGGCGTGCCGTTCGACTCCAGAGGGGGTGCGCAGGGGCTTGTCCCTGAGAGCGGTCT